ATTTGGCCTTTTAACTAAATACGTAAAAAGAAGTCTTTGTTTGGCCCTTCAACAACATATGAAGAAAAAAAAATAAAGTCCTGCCGAGTGGACTCGTTAGCGTCCTTCAGGGTCTGGGGACCACAGAGACCCAAATCAGAACCCATACACACGGTTTAGAAATCATCCCCCGACTCCAAAAGCCTAGAGACGCATAAATAAATAAAAAATTTGGCATTTGGCTGCTTTTTTAACCCTTTAATGCCTGATCCAAGAATAAAATAAATCAGAAAATGACTTATTTTTTTGGTTTGAATTCCTTATTTGGCCTTTCAACAAAATATGTAAAAAGAAAAAACATAGAATTTATTTTTAATATTAATAATTTATTACTATGCGATAAATCAAGATTATTTTTCCATCAGGGTCTGGGGACCACAGACACCCAAATCAGAACCGATACACATCGAGGAATGACTCTAAAAGCCCAAAGACGCAAAAATAGAAATAATATTTGACATTTGGCTGCTTATTAACCCTTTAAAGCCTGATCCAAGAATAAAACAAAACAGAAAATTACTTTTTTTTTTGGTTTGAATTCCTTATTTGGCCTTTTAACTAAATACGTAAAAAGAAGTCTTTGTTTGGCCCCTCAACAACATATGAAGAAAAAATAAGAAAGTCCTGCCGGGTGGACTCGTTAGCATCCTTCAGGGTCTGGGGACCACAGAGAACCAAATCAGAACCAATACACACCGAGAAATTACTCTAAAAGCCCAAAGACGCAAAAATAGAAATAATATTAAGCATTTGGCTGCTTTTTAACCCTTTAAAGCCTGATCCAAGAATACAAAACAGTTTAATACAAAACAGAAAATTACTTTTTTTTGTTTGAATTCCTTATTTGCCCTTTTAACTGAAAAAACAGAAATATATTTTTAATATTAATGATTTATTACTATGCGATAAGTCAAGATTATTTTTTGTGTAGTCTTCTGCCCCCTGTTATCAGGTGTATCTGAAGTCTTTGTTTGGCCCCTCAACAACATATGAAGAAAAAATAAGAAAGTCCTGCCGCGTGGACTCGTTAGCATCCTTCAGGGTCTGGGGACCACAGAGAACCAAATCAGAACCAAAACACACCGAGAAATGAATCTAAAAGCCCAAAAACGCAGCAGTAGAAATAATATTAACCCTTTAAAGCCTGATCCAAGAATAAAATAAATCAGAAAATGACTTATTTTTTGTTTGAATTCCTTATTTGGCCTTTCAACAAAATATGTAAAAAGAAAAAACTGAAATACATTTTTAATATTAAGAATTTATTACTATGCGATAAATCAAGATTATTTTTCCTTCAGGGTCTGGGGACCACAGAGACTCAAATCAGAACCGATACACACCGAGAAATGAATCTAAAAGCCAGAAGACGCAGAAGTAGAAATAATATCTGGCATTTGGCTGCTTTTTATCCCTTTAAAGCCTGATCCAAGAATACAAAACAGTTCAATACAAAACAGAAAATTACTTTTTCTTGGTTTGATTCCTTATTTGGCCTTTTAACTAAATACGTAAAAAGAAGTCTTTGTTTGGCCC